GTTCATGCTTGAAATCAAATGTGCTGCCATAAACCTCTGTCTCTCAGCCATTTGGGGCACTCTCATCATGTCCACGTTTGCAGATAACAAGGAGAATACCCGTGCCATTGTTGTGGATTGCAAGTTGCATTTTTTGTAGGAGATTTTATTTTAGTATATTTTATTCTATTGTCTTTACCAACTGATCAATGTGCACTTCTCATCTCAGGGTCCATGCATTGCTGACATGTAGCTGAGTGCTTCGGCTCAGCTGTTCTCCACATTTCTTCTTCATACTTTCTGTGCAGATACTGCAGTGTGCAGGGCAGGAGGTCTGTGATGTGTAGCCATTACTACAGCCCCATGTTCCAGACTCAAGCAGACCAATTCTTTTTTTTTTTTTAATGCAAATTCTTGTGTTTTTGTTCTACAACCACAGGGACTTCCGCCCTGACAAAAAAAAAAACCCTTCTATGCCTCAACACTGCATGCCCTGGCTGCTGCCTGCAGGTGACCACTCACACGTTGGTAAGTGCTGGGCTTCCTGCAGCTTTGCACACACAGTAGCGACAGTTTCCCTGGGCTGGTGTTATTTGTGTCTTTTGTTGTTATTTCCTGGCTCTACTGTTCTTTGTGATGTGTTGCTGTATTCCTCTTTTGCAAATGTGTCCCCTGTTCCTGGATGCCATCTTTCCTTGCTGTCTGAGGAAAGTGCTGTTTGGTGAGAAATCGGGCTGAAATTGTCTGGTTATGCCTGGGCTCATTTCATTGGGCCTGAAAGTACTTGGGAGAATAAGGAAAGCTGCTGTGAAGCCTTCTAGGCTAGGGTAACTAAGGTCAGCCTAGCATAAATTATGATGTTTCAGATCCACTTATCGAAAGTTGTACTGAGTTCTCACCTGCTGAGCAGCGGCCATCAGCAGCACTGATAGTGCAACTGAGAGAAAAGAGGATGAGCTTTCAGGTGTAGGGGTTCTTCCTGAGTTTGAAAACAGAGGCATCATGATTTTATTATTAGTTAGTCTGTGGTGAAATTGGTTTGTTCTTAATTAATACAGCAATGTGCGCAGGTGGCCAAGAAGGCCAGTGCCATCCTGGTTTGCATCAGGAGCCGTGTTGCCAGCAGGAACAGGGAAGTGATTGTCCCCCTGTACTCAGCACCGGTGAGGCCGCACCTCGAGTTCTGTGTCCAGTTTTGGGTCTTTCACTGCAAGAAAGGCATTGAGGCCCTGGAGCGTGTTCAGAGAAGGGCAACAAAGCTGATGTGGGGTCTGGAGCACAGGCCTTATGAGGAGCGGCTGAAGGAGCTGGGATTGTTCAGTCTGGAGAAGAGGAGGCTCAGGGGAGACCTTATTGCTCTCTATAACTACCTAATGGAGGTTGCAGTGAGCTGGGGGTCGGCCTCTTCTCTCGTGTGACTGGTGACAGGACCAGAGGGAATGGCTTCAAGCTGCACCAGGGGAGATTTAGGTTGGACGTTAGGAAATACTACTTCTCTGAATGAGTGGTCAGGCAATGGAATGGGCTGCCCAGGGAGGTGTTGGAGTCACTGTCCCTGGAGGTGTTCAAGGAATGTTTGGATTTTGTGCTGGGGGACGTGGTTTAGTGAGTACTATTGGTGATAGGTGGATGGTTGGACTGGATGATCTTGAAGGTCCTTTCCAACCTTGGTGATTCTGTGAATTTAGGTCAAACGATGAATCAATGAAATGTGGAGAGTGCAGACAAAATCCTGGAGGGAAGACTGACACATTTTGTAATGGGCTGAGGTGGACATGAGTTTGAGATGAATGATCTTGGTGCTTGCTGGGGGGGTTTCAGTTGGAAAAGCTGGGAGGTATTTCCCACCAGGGATCCGTGCACAGAAAGACAAATATATTCGAATATAGCTGGGAGTCAATTTCTTTTACTTTAAGTTTTATTGGCGTTGGTTGATTCATGTTCAGTCCCTCTGCCCCTGTGAAAACTGTGAATGAATCCAAAGAATACACTGAGAGCATTAAGACTTAGAGGCATTTAATCGGGAAGACCTCAGAAGTGAGAGGTGGTGTATGGGAGCTGAGTTTTGGGTGTGATTGAGGTGAAGGCAGAGAAGGAGCAGCCAAATGCCAGCGCTGCATCAGGGCAGCTGTGTGTGCTGCTGCTGGGATCAGTGCGGTGCTTGAGGAGGACGCCTGTGTGCCTTGTGCTGAGCAGCGACGCAGCACTGCTTGCTTACGCTGAGCTTGGTCCTGCAAGTGATGGGCTGGTGGTGAGCGCGTGTGACGCGTGGCTGTGTTTATTTCAGCACTGCTGATGCTTCCTGCTCTTAGCATGGGACATCTGACCAATTTAGCAAGGCAGAATGCAAACTATCAATGAAGATTTCTGAATTTACTCTTAAATCACAATCTTGCATTTGAAATAGAGGTTTGACAACAATGAAGAAAAATACCCAGTTGTGCTTTTAGGCAGAGTCTATTAAAGGCATTGTGTTGGCTGTAAGCTGACTTCGAGCCCTACGAGATGAATCTCCCTCCACGGTACTCCTACCCATTTTCTGTCACTGTTGTGTATCGGTTTTGTTGAATTACAATGTTGACCCAGAAATTTAGCAGCAAATGCAGAAGTTGTGTAACAATCTCTCTTTCAGCGTTAGTGCTGCATGCTGGAGAAATTAATGCAACTAATGGATCTTCACAGGTAATCCTGATCAGTGTGGGAAGGCCAAAATAAAAGGTAGAGTAATGTTTTGGATTCTGGCAATTTCAACCCCAAAATGGTGATGGCAAATTAAACATAGTTTGGAATTTCTTGTCTTTTTATAATTACTGTTAAGAAATCCAATAGTGGGTGTTCATAATATCTTGTCTGTAAGTGAACAACATGTTAAATACTTCTGAAGCTAAATGTGTAGATGAGAAAAATATTGGAAATGATTTTAAGAGAGGTCCTCCTGCCTTTTCTGTGTCCTGGGTACACAATGGCTGCATGAGGGCAAGAGGCAGAGAGCCCATTGCCCTGGAGGAGCGGGCTGTGCTCTGTGGTGTGAGGCTGCAGGAACCTCTGCAGGGTGTCAGGGTGCGACTTACTTTGGCAGTGCGTGATGGTGATGGTTATGGCAGTGAGGAGCAGGAGGCAGGTGACAGCCAGGTTAACCCACATGACCATTTTACAGTAGAATCTTGGTGTGTTCTCGTTGCTTGTTCCTGCAGGATGAACGGAGAGAGAGGAAAGAGTGAAGTCCCAGCTGCACACATCTCCCTGCATCCTGAAATGCCTGTAGCCGGCACAAAATTTTATTTGGCCTCTTCTAACCAAAGCAGCACTGCTGGCAGAGCCCCTGCCTCCCACAGCTGGGTTACCTGCATGCTGGCCCTGTTGCGAGTTGTCCTTTGTGGTGACCTGGCTGCTCTGGGTGGTGGCAGTGGGTGTGATGTGTTCTGCTGTTGTTGTGAGTGGATGGAAAAATGGATGAATACAGTGAGATACAAGAAAACAGCCTTCTCCCACTCTTGCCAGACCATTGATGATTCTGTGGCCAGCACTGTGGGGGGACTCCATAGGGCCCATTTTGACCTATGATGCCCTGACACTGTGCTGTGAGGTCTGCTTGCATTGCTGAGCTGCCCAGCCGTGAAACCTGAGGTCAGTGAACTCAGTATTTCTTTCCAGCACCCTCAGAAATTCTGAGCTCTTTAGGTGGCTGCATCCCTTCAATGGCAGCTCTCTGAGAAAAATTATTAGAATTTTCCCTTCTTCTAACATCCCCAAATGCCTACAGTCAGCACAGCCTTGAATTCAGGCTGTTCCAAGCAATTCAGCACTGCTGGCAGAGCCCCTGCCTCCCCACAGCTGGGTTACCTGCATGTGGGCCCTGTTGTGAGCTGTCCTTCTTGGTGAGCTGGCTGCTCTGGGTGGTGGCTGTGTGTGTGGTGGGTGCTGCTGTTGTTGTGCCTGGAAAGAAGAAATAAGTGAATAGAGTGAGGTACAACAGAAGAGCTTCTTCCTATCTGTGCCAGGACATGTCCATCGGAGGATGAACTTCTCTACGGTCTGCTTCGAACAGTGCTTTCACATACTGCCCAGCCCAGGAAACAGAATTTGGACTTATCAGTCTCCTCAGCATGATCTCTATTATAAAATATGTCCTGAGAGTCTTAGGGACTTTTTTAGTTTCTGTTTCAGGTGCAGTGAGCATTTGGATACTGTCAGAATGTAGAGATCCAGGTGAGGTGAGGAAGGCTGGGGTTCCTGTGGACTTTGTAAGTCTCATCCCTCAGAGGTGCTGATGGGATGGAGAGGTGCAGCTGGGCTGTGAGACCACCTGTGTGTTTGGGCAGTGCCAGTGGGCAGGGAGCCTCTGTGAGGAGGAGCAGTGCTGTGTGATGAGACGGCTTGGGCAAAGAAGCAGGGACATGGGGAGTGTGGGCGATGGGCCGGATTGAGAAGGCACGGGCTGGGGTGGTGGGTGTAAGTGAGGAGGGTGAAGGTGTTGCTGACCTGGGAAGAAGGCGGGTTGTCCAGAGCTGATGTGGAGCCCTGGGTTGATGTAGTTGATGCAGAAATAGATCCCTTCGTCCTGTGCCCTGAAGTTCTTCACTACCAGCCGATAGGAGTTTCCTTTCCATGATGCCTCAAAGTTTGGAGCTGTTTTCTCAGCCTCCTGCAAGGTAGAGGGATAAGATTGTGTACTGGAGAGAATGAAGTGAAGGTTCCCACCGTTGTCCAGGCGGATCCAGAAGATGGGTCTGTTTCTCTCATAATTCAGGCACTCCAACTCCAGCCGCTGTCCCTCCTGGGGGTGCTTCATATTCCTGTTGAGGAACCTGGCCTCCAGCGTGTTCCTCTGTCCCTGGGCAGTGGTGCAGCCTGTGGGCAGAAGTCGGCCATGTCCCCTCAGGTGCTGCTCAAGAAGAGCTCCGGGTGCTTTTGTGCAGGGCTCTTCCCTGCTGGTGCGGTGCGTGGCAGGCAGGCAGCCGGGCTGTGAGGGTGAATGCGGACGGAGGGCCTCGGCATCCAGCATACTTGGGTGCTGTGCTGGAGTCCCTGGGGATTCAGCACTGAGAGTGCCAGGCTCTTGAGATGGATGCTGCCCTTCAGCTGCCTTGTTTGGGCTGCTGCTATTTTCCCAACTTCTTTGACGGATGATTCCTTGCTATCAACTGCTACATGCTCTCTCTCCCCCCTTCCCCATCCCCTCCAGCAACACCTGTCTGAACAGGTTCTGTTCCTGCTGCGTATCGCACTGCAGTCCCTCCGCTCCCGCTTGCCTGCGCAGTCACTGAACAGCCCTGAATTCCATCCTTCTGGCTTCCATACTCACAGAGCCCCAGGCTGAGCAGGAGGAGCAGTGCAGGAGAGCCGGCCATCGTCCTCGGGGCGGTGCAGCGGAGCGCGGCTGATCTTTCTCACTGAACTTTGGAGGCAGCGTAACTTATAGGAGAGGATGTGATGTCATCAGGACCCTCTTCTGTGAAGAGTCCGTGTTCATCCTCTCAGGTGAAACAGTGAGAAAAGATTTCTGCAGCACTTCATTTTTGATCCAGAACTTGGGCTTGTTTATTGTTTTAGCATTGTTTTTAATGTTGCCTCTGGGATTTTGCTGCAGTGTCTTCAGTTGAGATACAGACTGGCAGTTATCCTTCTAGAAATTGGGTGAACCACCACGGGCTGATATTTCCCACTAACTTCATGTCCAGATCTGCAGAAAACAAGAACAAGTCTGGGGCCATGGCTATGGACAAGATGTTGTTTTTCTTTGGAAGTTTGTATTTCATTGTACTTTATTTTATTCAATTTACGGGTTAAAGAAGACCTGGGAATGGTTTGCAGCATCTATCCATCTGCACCTTATCTCTGAGTCCTTGCACTGCTGACATGTCTGAGTTTTGCAGCTCTGCTGTTCTCTGCATCTCTTTCTAGTTCTCTGCAGAAGCTGCTGTGTGCAAGGCAGGAGCTCTGTGGTATTACGCTGATCATGACAGCCACACGTCCCAGTAGTTTGCTGAGTTTATGTCTTTAATAATATCCTTCTTCACCCACAGCCGTTTCCGCCCCTTCTGAAGTAAAGAACAACCATCCCACTCTACCTTTTTTAACACTCTGAGGCCTGCCCACTGTCTGTAGGTGACCTCACACACTGCTAAGCCTTTTGTCTTCCTGCAGCTTTGCTCATACAGTCACAACAGTTCCTCTAGGCTGGTGTTATTTGCTCCTTCTTTGGGGATTTCCTGGCTTTCCCGCTATGTTTTGATAATGTGTGAGGCATTCTTCTATTACCTTTGCAAGAAAACCCTCTGGATGTTAACAAGCTAGGCTATTCTGACTGCTGGAACAACTGTTGTGTGAGAAAATGAGCTGCAAGTGATTGGGAACTGGGTTCATCTCATTGGACCTCCAAGCATTGTGGTGAGTGCGGAAAGCTGGTGTGAGGCCTGCTGAGGTCTGTGAAACAGAAGGTATTATAAGGCTGTAAGACATGTGACGTTGGCTTGAAATTGATCCGATGTGTTGCAAAAAGAAGAGAAAAGAGGGTTAATTTATTAAAGAACATAACCAGAACCTTGAAATCCCATCAAGCACATTAGAACCGTGGACACTTACAGAGTCACAGAATTGTAGGGGTTGGAAGGGACCTCCAGAGATCATCGAGTCCAACCCCCCTGCCAAAGCAGGATCCCTACACCAGGTCACACAAGGAGGTGTCCAGGCGGGTCTTGAATATCTCCAGAGAAGACTCCACAACCTCCCTGGGCAGCCTGTTCCAGTGCTCCGTCACCCTCACCGTAAAGAAGTTCTTGCACACATTGGTGCAGAACTTCCTATGCTCCAGTTTCTGGCCGTTTCCCCTTGTCCTGTCTCCAGACACTGCTGAAAAGAGTCCAGCCTTGCCACTCTGCCCCCCACACCTTAGATATTTATAGACCTGGATCAGGTCCCCTGTCCGTCTTCTTTTCTCAAGGCTAAACAGACTCAGTTCACTCAGCCTTTCTTCATAGGGGAGATGTTCCAGACCCTTCACCATCTTTGTGGCCCTCTGGACTCTTTCCAAGAGATCCCTGTCTTTTTTGTATTGGAGAGCCCAGAACTGGACACAGTACTCCAGATGAGGCCTTACCAGGGCAGAGTAAAGGAGGAGGATCACCTCCCTCGACCTGCTGGCCACGCTCTTTTTAATGCACCCCAGAATGCCATTGGCCTTTTTGGCCACAAGGGCACACTGCTGGCTCATGGCCAACCTGTCGTCCACCAGGACACCCAGGTCCCTCTCCGCAGAGCTCCTCTCCAGCAGCTCATCCCCAACCTGTACCGGTGCATGCAATTACTCCTCCCCAGATGCAAGACTCTACACTTGGTTTTGTTAAACCTTATCTGGTTTCTTACTGTCCAGCTCTTCAGCCTGTCCAGGTCTCGCTGAATGGCAGCACAGCCTTCGGGTGTGTCAGCCAATCCTCCCAACTTCGTATCATCAGCAAACTTGCTGAGGGTGGCCACTATCCTCTCATCAAGATCATTGATGAAGATGTTGAACAGGACCGGACCCAGCACCGATGGAGGCACTTAGGCCTCCATCCATTTCCCAGCAACACATACATGTTACACTGCTTGTGTAGGCTCTTTCTATTGTCAATTTCTTCTCCTTGAGCTTAGCAGAATCCATGCTGCCTTTGCAATGGGATGAGGAGCTGAACTGATGGGCATGCCTTGTGGGTGGCTGATGTTGTCCCATATCTCGTGAGGTGCCGAAGCGATCTGCTTCTGCCTTACGCTGGGATTGTGACCAAAGTAAGAAAATTCCTGATTTCAGAGGTTCGGAATGATTGATCTGGAAGGAGACCTATTGGCAAATGAGGATGTTTGCACACCTCTGGGACTGGATTCTCACCCTGCCATGGAGTACGGTTGCCTACGCACGGTATCTCATGTTCAGAGATATGTTAGGAGAACCTCTACAGTTGGATTGCAGGATAAGCCAGGAAGGGCTATTGCCTATCTCAGTTTGGACATCTTTCTTCCCTCTTTTCTCCCTGTGACAGTGTGATTCTACTGTGGGTCATTCCCAGCTACCTAACAGGTACCCAGAAGTTCTCCTCCTAAACACAGAGTTGCCCTTCCTCTTGGTCCTCGTGGCTCACGGATGGAGCTGGTTTCCACAGGAGGCCACTGCCTGCTGTGAATTCCTCAGGCCCTTGGCTGTGAGTCAGTTCAGAAGACTGCTTTTCGTATTCAGATTGTTATTTGCTGAGTTGCTTTGTGAGCCATCGCTACATCAAATATACTCCCAGCCCCCGTGTCTTCTGGTGTTGCCCATCGTGTCATGCAGGATGATGGCGACTATGCTGAGTCATATGGGGTGCTTTTGGAGGTATCACTCGTTCCTGCTGCCTTTGAGAAACTGTTAATGACTGTATGTCCTTATGGCAAGTTGAAAGCTTATTGTCAGTGGAAAGAAAGCAGTAAGGGGGTTGTCATGCATCCCTTCCCAGCAGGGACACGCTTCATTGGCCAGAGAAGGTCCCAGGCAAGTTTAGCTCTGATGGAGACACCTGTGTGTGATCAGATGAAGCCAGTGTACTCCTGAGCCTCCATCTCTTGTCTCCTAAGTAACAAATTAGCTGGAGCAGGAATCTTCCTTTCCTGGGTTCTGTGTTTACATATGCCTTAGCAAACAGCAGTTTCTTCTTTTAATATTAATATCAAAAACATGTAATACTGTTCCAGTGGTAAATTCTCTATTATGAAAAGCTTTGGACAGAAGCTGGACCTCCAGGAGGAGCTCTAATTTAAAACGTTGATCTGTTGAGGCAATTCAGATCGGCGGCGTGGATTAATTTTCTCTGTGCCTACTGCTGACATTTCATTTGCACAAGCTAGGAGAGAATTTCTACCACAGACCCGAGTCAGACACTCAGTTCTTCCTGAATCGTTTAGAGAGGGACCTAATTGTATTTAGTTTTTGTAACATTAGTGGGATAGCATGTTATGTTACAAGTCTCTCTGCCACATATGTCAATAATGAATTAAACTAAACTGCACAATGAAATACGTGAAAGTTATATCTCGCTTGTAGGAAAGACGTAGGAATTGACAGATGAGGGCATCAGAGCTGAGTATTGATAGGATTGGTTTCTTGGTTGTTTCGTGGAAGGCTGAGCTGTGCAGCACAGCGGTGCCTTTTGCACAGTGGCACGGAGCTGCCCGGCTTGTTAGGGTCAGCAGTGTCCGGCGCGGTCTGGGTGTGTCCCAGCAGTGTGGGGCAGGAGCACATGTCAGGCCGCGGGAGGTGTGCAGTGCTGGTGGGCAGCAGGGGAGGAGCAGCCAAATGCCGGCGCTGCATCAGGGCAGCTGTGTGTGCTGCTGCTGGGATCAGTGCGGTGCTTGAGGAGGACGCCTGTGTGCCTTGTGCTGAGCAGCGACGCAGCACTGCTTGCTTACGCTGAGCTTGGTCCTGCAAGTGATGGGCTGGTGGTGAGCGCGTGTGACGCGTGGCTGTGTTTATTTCAGCACTGCTGATGCTTCCTCTGTTAGCATGGGAGCATCTGACCAACTTAGCAAGGAGGAATGCAAACTATCAATGAAGATTTCTGAATTTACTCTCAATGCACAATCTTGCATTTCAAAGTGGGTTTGCAACATTAGGATGGTTCAGACTAAAGACACCTAGTTCTGCTTTTAGGCAGACTCTCTGGAAGGCCCTGTGCCTGCTGTTGTGGCTCTATGCTGACTTAGAGCTGTTCAGTGTGAATCCCTCTGAACAATTCTCTTCCCCTTTGTGTCCTCTCTTTTATTTCTGAAGGGTCTGTTCAGCAAATTGCACCGTTGAACCGTGACTTTTAACAGAAAATGTAGGTGTCTTGCAGCACTGTCTCTTTGAGGGTTTGTTCTGCATGCTGCAGAAATTATTGCAACTAATGGATTTGCGCTGGTAATTCTAATCTAAGGTTGAGTAATGTTTTTGTTCTGATACTTCCCACCCCAATACCTATTTTAGCCACTGCCGTTTGTTAGAATAAGGTTTTACTGCTTGTATTCTATTTGCTGCTAGCATAGAATGTGATAAATACTTCTGGTGCTAAACTTGGAGATGGGAAAATCTGGATAGGAATTTTAAGAACATCCTTCTGCATTCCCTGTGTCCTGAATACGCAATGGCTGCCTGGGTGCAATAGGCAGAGAGCCCATTCCCCTGGAGGATTGGGCTGTGCTTTGTGGTGTGAGACTGTATTGCTGACATGTATCTGACTTCTGCAGCCCTGTTCTTCTTTGCCACTGTTCTGCAACTGCTGCTTTGTGCAAGGCAGGTCTGTGATGTGAAACCCATCCAAAAAAAGCCCCGTGTCCCAGTGGCATGCACATTTTTATTTTTCAAAGCAGAATTTTTGTGGTCTTATTCTACAACCACCAGGACTTCCACCCTGAGAAATATATGTGTCAACATTCATGGCCTTTGATGCTGCCTCCAGGTGACCACTCGCACGTTGGTAAGTGCTGCAGTTTTGCAAACTGTGTAATGACAGTTTCCCTGGACTGATGTTATTTGTGTCTCCTGTTGTTATTTCCTGGCTCTGTGGTTATTTGTGATGTGTTGCTGAATCCCTCTTTTGCAAATGTGCTCCCTGTACCAGGATGCCAGAAACCAGGCACCGCTGTCTGATGAAAGTGCTGTTTGGTGAGAAATTGGGCCAAAATTGTCTGGTCATCCCTGGGCTCATTTCATTGGACCTCAATGCATTTGGGTGAATAAGGAAAGCTTCTGTGAAGCCTTCTAGAATCTGTTATCCTAAGCCTTTTTTGAGGTGTTAAGATTTGTGATGTCAGCAAAAATTAGAGCAGCTTTTTTTTTACAATACAATGAGAACATTTGATTCATTCATCCATTAAATAACATTACAGGAATCTGTGTCTCAAATTCTCATCTTTCTGGGGGATTTCAAACACCCAGATATCTTCTGAGAAAACGTTACAGAGAGCTGCAGGCAATCCAAGAGACCCCTGTCATGTGTTGAAGATAACTTTGTGATTCAGGTATTAGGCAAACTGTCCAGAGGAGTAATGTTTTTGCATCTGTTCCTCACTGGCTCGGAGGAGCTCATTAAAGAGGCTCAGATTGGAGGCACTCTGGCCTGCAGTGACCACGCTCTGGTGAAGTATGTGCTCTGGATGGTCTCAAGGATCCAGGTTGTTCAAGGATTTACTGTCTGAGATCCCCTGGGAAGCTGTTCTTACAGACAAAGGAGTGTAGCAAAACTGACAGTCCCCTAACGATGCGTTTCTGAGAGCGTAAGAGCAAACTGTAGGATAAGAAAGACTTATACAGGTGTTGGATGCAGAGATGTGTGGCCTGTGAAGAATAAAGAAATGCTGTCTGGACATGCAGAGATGGGATAGAAAAGCCAAGGTGCAGATGGAATTGTGTTTGGCAAGGGATGTGAAAAAGAAGAAGGTATTCTACAGGTACACTGATCAGAAGAGGTAGGCTTCAGA